ATTAGGCAAAATGAATATGACTTCTCTAGTGATCCTTCTTTTATTATGTGCTGTTCTTTTGCATTATAAAGTATTTCACTCACTGAGCGAGAGGGGATTTAGAAATTTGTGCCACGAAGCCCCTCTTGACTCTGGAGGAGAAAGGATAGATGGGACTTAAATTCTAAAACTTTTGCGTGTTTTTATGAACAAAAAAATGGCAAAGTTTCTTTCAACTCGATTGATATAATCAATAAGCGTCCCCTTCAAGGGATGGTTTGTAGGTACTGAGTATTAACCCTTCTTGCTGTTCTTTTGAGTTACAGGAATCCCCCAAATAGCGCGGTGGATGGTGCCACCCATCGCAATTTCTCGGTTGTTTTCCAATCAATAGAGCTAATTTCCTGTAGGTGACAAGTTTATGGTTGACCCTAATAACCTAGGACAGTAGATAAATTGCGGTGGGTGGTACCATCCACCGCGCTATTCGTGAAATTCCTGTAACTCAAAAGAACAGCATGTGATAATAAGAAGGGTGAATGCTCATATGAACGTAATTTCTTTAACAAACAGTACTAGTTCATCAGGTCATGGTAATTCTATCTACCATCCATCAGGTGCTAATATCCGTCTAACAATCCTGTGACCTTGAAACTGGTACTGTTCGTTAGATAAATAGATTCTACGGGCTAGAGTGAGTGAGGTGCGGTAAAATCAGTCACTCTAGTCCTCAGAAACAACAGTTTGAGTTGATGGCTTTTGAGGATATATCAAGCTGAATCTGCTGAGAGTACTTAAAACCTAATGCAATGTTCAGCTTGAATCATCAAAGCGAAGTTTATAAATTAATTAAAATATGTGAACGCATTGAAAAAATTAAGCGCATTTTATCGTTCAAGTTGGGCGTATTCTGTACGGCGTGTGAGGTGAGGTGACAGTATAGTCATGGTATATGGAGACCAGAATGTTGATTAACAAGCAACCTGCTTTATAAGATGGCAGAGGAAATGTTGTCCATTCAAATTTACGTAGGGGAAGCAGCGCTATTGTTGCGGTACGTTAGCAGCGTTAGGAGCCTATTGTTGTGTATGGAGACCTCCATACACAACAATAGGCTTCTAACGCTGCTAACATACCGCAACAATAGAGCTGTTTCCCCTAGCGCATATAATAAAAACTGCTTTGTTTTGACTCTATTCAACGAAACAATACTGCAATATTCTAATATTGGCCTCACATAGGCAACATAAAGTGTTTTAATTGTGTAAGGATCTTTAAAGATGAAACCAAAACGCTTTATAAAAATAAGCATATTGCCTGCTCTATGAATTATTGTTATAATGACCCACAAATATTAATTTAGAATATAGAATATCTCCTATGTCTCTTATTTTTTCACAATTTGATCATCTATTGAAATACTAATATCTGATTTGATTAGCTTTCTACTGTACGCTATAAGATTACATTTTTTAACATTTAGTTTCAACAAACTTTTACAACACCACGTATAAAAACCATGAACTTCATTCTGGAACATATTCGTATCATCATCATTTCTTATCTCTAAAAATAAGTTAAGTTGTCTTTTTTAGGGAGGCTTTCAGCCTGATCCTGGTTCGCCTCCGAACTCTCTGTCATGTCATCAGCATAAAATTAGAAGCAGAGGTCCCAAGTGCGTGCCCTGGGGAATTCCTGACGTGACTTTAATTGGATTTGATTTTTTGCGCTGAATCTTACAATTTGCTTACTGTAATTTCCTGGTTAAATATGACTTAATCCAGGTGAGGAGTTTCATCTCAATTCCATTTTTTTTAAATTTGGAAATTAACATTGTAATGTCAAGTCTATCGAACGCTTTACTGAAGTCAGTGTAAAGAGCTTCTGTTTGGTTTCATTTGTCCATTGCATTAAATTACTGATGAACAGCTCGAGATAATAAATGTCAAACAAATCATGTTGAATGCAAAAAACAGTTTGTTTATAAAAGTATATCCAAATATTTAAAAAAATATGGAAATTTTTCATACACTTACATTTTTCCTGCAAACTTTGTTTATTTAATAAATTGACAGAATAGTAGTTTTAAGCCCATCAACAATTACAAATATGTTGTTTGATGCATAGCTGGAACAGCGATATTAGGCAGAGGCGCTAAACACGGCCGTATATCTCCAAAACGTTTCGCTTTCAAAACCCTTCGACGCCACGCCTTACGAGCTTTGGAACGGCGTGAAACTCAAGGTCGATCACCTAAAAATATTCGACTGCGCTGCGTGGGTTCACATCCCGAAGGTGAAGAGGAAGAAGCTGGACGCACCAGCACAGAAGCTGACTTTCGTGGGTTATTCGTCGGAGCACAAAGCTTATCGCTTCCTCGACAAAGCTACGCTAAAGATCTACGTGAGCCGGGACTCTTTCCACAACAAAACCCGGATGTACCCGAAAACCAACCAGAAGCGGAAGAAGATTACGATTCGGCGGTCGAAGAAGAGATTCAATCGGAGAATGAGTTTCTCGGTTTCAGCGATGAAGATCCTCTACTCGGAGAAGAAGCCAACACGGAGCACCAAAGCGATCGACACGCGTGACGAAAGGCATTCCGCCTCAGCGTTTTGATAATGTTACCAGCGTAACGAAGCATGCAAGCGAAAAAAAAGAAAAAGGATGAACACGGACGAGTGGTGCGACACAAAGCGAGATTAGTCGCACAAGGATTCGCACCCGAGATTTTCGCCCCCGTCGTTCATCAGACTACCCTTCAAACGGTCCTCGTACTGGCCAACAAGCAGAGGTTGGTGAAGCACCTCGACATAAAGAGCGCCTACCTGTACGCGGAGCTGCATGAGGACACGTACATTAAGCAACCGCCTGGTTTCGTTCAAGACAACTGTATGGTATGTCATCTCAAGCACAGCATTTCCGGGCTCAAGCAGTCCGCTCGAGCATGGAATAAGAAAATCGACGGAGTTTTCAAGTCCATGGGTTTCCACCAGGCGGACGCCGATGCGTGCCTGTACATCCGGAACTGATATACGTCGACGATATGGTCATCGTCTGCAACTCCGAGGAAGAATTCGAGCAAATTCGCCGACAGCTGCAGATACACTTTCCTGCCTAGGCGAACTCAAGCACTTCCTGGGAATTCACGTGAAGATAAATGGCAATCATTACACTCTTAATCAAGGAAGCTACATCGACAAGCTGGTTCGTCGATTCGGACACGACCAAGCGAAGCCATCAAAGGTGCCGATAGACCCCGGATATCATCTTAATGACAAAAGCCCCTAGAGCGAGGTAAACATGGTTAAACTAGAGAGGCACAGAACTGCTATCGGCGTCAAGGATCCAACCGAGACGTCGAACTAGCATCGTTGAGGAGGAGTGTCGGTTTACACAACAGTGTAACACCTATGCCAATTCGAAAAGTATATTTTCACCCAGTACATAATCCCCAAACATTCATGTATCGTTTACACAACACCCATACACGCACACTCACACCCTTTGCTATGCATCACAGAGAAGTAGAAATATACGTTATTCAGTAGTCGTCACTCAGTGGCGATAGTTTATCCTTTTATTTGTTCCGTTATAACCATTCCCCTGCAGCAGTACCTACATAGAGGTAACTCTAAGACAAGTAGGTCCCGAAGAAACGTGCTCAACTTTTTGGCTCACCTCTGGTACTATCTTCGGTCCCAAGCTTGTCGAATCACCCCTCGAAACATAGGAAAAACCAATAACCCCTCATTTTATCTGTCAAACTTTCATAGCGAATCAAAACAAACATTGCGTAGTACTAGAATTTCGAATAGAATAGGGTACGTTAATCGTTTGCTTGGGACCAATAGGCTACTAAAGTGGTGAGCCAATTTAAAATCGTTAGTTTCATATTGATTGTTGGTACCTACTTGTATTAAATTTATTCTACAGAAATAATTGTTTCTTACCCCTTAGAACATAATATTCTTACCCCTTGTGAAGGTCGCTCATACCACCCCGATAGGGTGCTCATTTCACCTCAACGGTTTAATTTCGGTTACAAAACGAACATTTTTTTAAATTTTCTTGCATTTACTTTTACATATTTTTTTACTTTTAATATTCAATTTGTAGATATAAATAGGACTTCAATTTGGTTAAACATCATTCGAATTTTCCACTTAATTTTGTATGATTAGTGATGATTTTCTTAAGGTGGCCAAACTGCCCCACTTTCCCGTATAAGAAATCACTGAAACATGTACAATGAGAATGGACGGTAATTCTTAGCACCGTTTAGTTGATTCATTATGAAATTTCACTGATTCGGATCGACCAGAGTGAAGTTAGTCTAAGCTAAGATAAAATCAGTTTTTATTTTTAAAAGATTTTTTTTGTTCAGTTTAGGAATGACATTTATTTTTTAATAGGGTAAGGTCAGACAAGATGGGTTACGGGGCACGATGAGTCAGCTAGTACATTTACCCGCCCCAATGATGTTTGCTTTATTCTTCTTCTTCTTCTTCTTCTTCGCATTTCAAGCTTATTGCATATCGCATATTAGCTTATTGCGTGCTCTTAACTTAGTGTTCTACTAGATGCACTTCCACAGTTATTAATTGAGAGCTTTCGATGCCTGTACCATTTTTGCATTGGTATAATTATGTGGCAAGTTCAAACATACTTCTATGCCCAGGGAAATCGAGAAATTTTCCAACCCGAAAAATTCCTAGACCGGACCGGGAATTGAACCCAATCGCCTCCATCATGGTCTTGCTTTGTAGCTGCGCCTTTACCGATTGAGCTAAGGGAGGCTTTATGCAATGTTCAAAGTTGTTTTTTCGGTGATTCAATTCAGAGTTGGTAATCAATTTAAATCAAACGAATTTATCTTTCATTGCGCTTGGTTTTAGTAGACGAAGTCTTTACTCCAACAAAGTTTCATTGGAAGCTGAGAGATTGCTGCCCAACCACTAGTCGAGTTGGTGTGGTATTCTTCGAAGGGACATGTTCGGATCACAGCATTGAAACATAACTTTGTGAAAGCCTATTTTATTGCCGATATCCAGCATTACACAAAACATCGGATTATTTTGATTCGGTTCCATGTTTTTGTATTCTTGTTGGTAAATTCTTTTCACTATATAAGTATCATTTCGTTAGATTCAAAATATACAATCCTCTCAATATTTTCTTTTATTAACATTTAACATCACGTGCGGCTTTCATCATATAACATGTATACAACAATCAATTTGTATTGTGTTCTTCCTTCGTGATGATCGGTTTAATTAGACACAGAACGTTTTGCTGATTAGTCTGCAATTTATTCTTACTTACTTTATTTTTGTTCTAGTTAATAAGTTTTTTTTTGGAAGATGTCTTCGCTCGTGGGTCGGGTTAGGGTATAGCAGTGTGTTTGTGTAAATTCCGATCATCCCTGTTAATCTACATTTTTGGCTTCAATTTGTATCTCTAATAGCATTCTAGGTTCTGTTCAACAGGCAATCAACAACTGCGCTGGGTGTATAACCACTATTACCTATTTACTATATTAACGGGTTTTCTTCCTTTTCTGCATGCCTTTTGCACAAATGCTTTCCGGGTTTGCACACTTACGATTAAAAATACGTCCAAACATTTTGTAAACGTGTATATTTTCTAAAAAATGAAAGCTCCTTTCACATTGATATTTATATGTTTTATGTTTAGATGTTTCCCCTAACCACGTGCATCATGTCAAAGTTCTATTTACTTATTTTCAAACAGCTGTTACACAAAAAAGCCAACTACCTTTGTGGTTGGGTATGAATTTTACCAATAATAATATCCCTAAAAAAAAAGTACCACAAAAAGTGATTAACGATGATTGTTCTGGTCATCATTTGTTCATGGTATTTGTTTATTAGGGTTAGCAATCTAGCTGCCATCTGAATAATTGCTGCATAATTTGTTCGAATTATTTAAGTGCTAATAGCGGTAAGAAATCTATCATCTATTGCATTGTATAAGTTCCAGCCAGCAAGTGATAAAAAATCATGCTTGCTCTTTTAGTACTGTAACGGAAAGTATGTGTAGATTTGAAGGTAATATACTTCCTTAAGAAATTATTTATAACACTAGTAAAATGCCTAAGACGAACTGTTATTCGTCACTGGATAGTCCAATCACAAACTGAACTTTTGTTTGTTTTCAATAGCCGTTTAGTATGCACACCTGCTTGTGAGTGAAGAAATTACACTTAAATGCAAATGTGCTTACATCTATGACTAGTTAGATGAAAGGGAAACTTCATAAAGGATCTATAAATATAAAGAAAACCATGCTATTCTACGTATTTCAAAACCATACCTAACGAGTTCCAATCAACGAATTCCAAGTTTCTAGTTTTCCTTACTCATATAGTACCTTTTTACGGTGCATGGTGAAATGACAGTTAAACGAAGAATGTACGATGGTGATATTTACCTTACATTAACGATCTTATCTCGCTGTCTTTGGATTGCGATGGCTTCAGACCTGTTCCGTTGGTCGCGGTACCATTCGATGTCGCATTGTTTCCTGGGGAATTGTTGTTCTTGAAGAAAACCTACCAACAATATACCGCAAATTGAAACGCATGATCATACTTAACATTAAACATCATTTACCTTAACTGCTCCTCTAAGCATCAGCCGGAACCAGTACAGCTGAGGGAGAAATAGTGCCAGTATACTAATCTTGCAGCCTCGCGGGAGACGCCAAAAAGCCTGAAAATAGATTGCAATTAGAAAGACAGCATTAGAACCCTTACCTAGAATATTTTCTTTTTCCCCATTTGAAAAATACAATTGACATCGTCTTCAATCAGCGGTTGCATATAGGGGTAAGAGGGGCACAATGAGCATCCCGTACTCCAGCCCCAAACCTCTAATTGTTCGAAACAAATTAATTGGTACTAGGTTCAATATTGCAATTGCAATGATAAATGACCAATTAATTTGTTTCGAATCATAAGAAATCCAAGGCTAAAGCACAGGAAGCTCACTATGCCTCATCTGTTCACTATGCCTATCCTTCCTCTAATGAACACTTAATAACTATTATAACAACTGACAACAGATAACACCCGATAGACCAGTAAGTAAATTTAATTTTACAAAAAGTTCCACTGGCAGAAGCGGGAATCGAACCCTCACTCCGTGGTACACACAATATATCTTAACAATGGGCGACGCCCTTAACCGCACGACCCTGAACCCACATTTTGCAGATTATTTCTAAGATGAAGTTCATTCGCAGATGCGTCAACTTAAGTAACATTCCAAGTTTTATCGAGGTGTCAAAAATTTAAATTACTTAAAATAATTAGACATCATAAAATAAGGATTTTGAAATCGGGGGAGGTAGCTCATCGATTCTTCCGGTTCGCCTCCTAGCATCGTGCTATAAGGTACCAGGCGATAACCAGGGTAGTTGATTGATAGCTCCATCATTTCATTACATTGGCGTCTGCAATGGGAAATTCTCATAGCAGGCGTTGACGATGGGCCGTTGTCGAGTTGTTGAATAGCAACTATCGTGGTAACTCACCGATTACCTGTCGATCTGCCAAATTTGGAAAGACGTCTGCATTGAATTGTCTCATATAATAATATTCCGCCCACTATATCACAAGAAATTGCGAGTAACTGAGTGGAATGGAGATAAGTTAAGCATTGGGTACAAGACCAAGTCTCCCCTGGGTGGTGCCAGAAGATGAGCCCAATAGAAGCAATAGAATCATCAAGTTTCCATAAGGCACGGAATGAGACTATTGCATGGCTGGGTAGTCAAAGTCTTCCATTCGTAAGTCATTTCAGGTGGATTAGAACAGGTTTAGGTTTAGGGTGGGCGTTGGCCAAATTTGGATTTTTCAAATATAATCCTAAATAGGACCTAGATTAAAACAAATGACAAGAAAATGCCTCAACAAATTGATTAATAATGCTAACAATATATTTATCTTCATTTGTCGGGACTTCGGGGAATCCGCGCAGTGGAATCACGCTCTGTATTCACAGTGTGTGCACTGTGGTACAAGGAGGGTTTAAGGTTTGGTCGCGGGATTTTCGGTATTGGTCCATCCACTTTGGGATGCATTGTCGATTTCATATGTTGTGGCCAATTAAGAGCGTGGCAAAGACAGCAGTACACAGTTTTAATTTTTAATATTTTGAAGTCAGTGGTGCGTTGATCCATAACATTTTGAAATAGATTTCGATCTAATGATACAATTAATAATTATGAATAGCAATAGCAATAGAATCATCAAGTTGCCATAAGGCACGGAATGAGACTATTGCATTGCTGGCTAGTCAAAGTCCTCCATTCGTTAGTCATTTCAGGGGGATTAGAACAGGTTTAGGTTTAGGGTGGGCGTTGGCCAGATTTGGATTTTACAGATATAATCCTAAATAGGACCTAGATTATTTAATACAATAGTAACCCCAACCTCTGTCACAATGTTTCATTTTGATTAATCAACACTCAATGGGTAAAATATCAAATTTGCGGTAAATTTGAAAAAAGGGAATTTGGAGTGCAGAGCGCACTGCCCACTGGACGATTCTGAAGCCTGGCCAAGTGAGTGGGTTACGGGTTTATTTGATTATACGTCATTTCCAAGTTATATATAGATACATTCATACCATTGGCATTTTGTATTTGAGATAAGACAGAGATAGGTTGCGGAGGGCCCGCTTAGTGGGAGCGTAACCCATGTTATGGCTTCCATTTATTAAATAGTTCAGATAGGCTGGAAATGATAGGTTCATTGTGAGAAAATGTACCATATGGTACCCGTTCACTGATCAAAATTAGATTCAAATCGTCAGGCCCTGCCCTGGAATAAGGGGATTAACGATGATTTGTCAAGTTTCTTTTTGCATTTGCATATAATTGTAAGTTTAGGTTTGCTTTTGTAATTGTAAGATAGATAGTTTGCCTCAATTGAAACATTGAGTTGTATAAACTTGACAAATCATGCCTCTAAAATAGTAGTAGTTACAGTGCCGCTTGATCTAACAACCACTGCCTGCAACTAATGTTGGAGGGGCCGGCAGGGCTGATTACGGATCAAAACTAACATAACTCTAACACTGAAATGATCCCGAAACTAACGCTCATTCATTGCACTTTGAGTCACAAAGTAGTTTTATTTATTTTCCTACTAATCTATCTACACACTTAGTTTTGACGTAGGACTACGTCTTTGATTTCTATATGGGGGTACACTTTGTGAAAACCGAAAATGGAACATGTAACATATTAAGAAAGATTTTGAACGTTAATAACTCAGCTGCCCCTGGTCCAATTAAAATAATGTTATCACCAATCGATCAGAAATATGGCTACGCATCGATAAAAATGTTGATCCGAATGTTGATTTTCAACAAGAAACTATTGAAAAACTGGTAAATGTCCAGCATTGTCCAAAAGCGTTGAATTAACTAACAAATCCACCAATTACCTACATGCATATGCTGCTTCCCCAGCACAGTCGTCAGAGAGTAGTAAGTAGACGAAACAAGTCGAAGTGGCATTCGCCTCCGATCCTCGGGCGCGTGCGAATAGGGAGGATGGAATTGCCTCGGGAATTGCGTAATATTTTGCACACTCATCGCCATCTCCGGTCTGATTTACGAGGTGTGCTGAAGGTGTTCCTGAAAAATGAGATCCGTGATGCTGTCACCTACACTAAACACGCCAAGCGTAAGCGGCCATGAATGTCATCTACGTTTTGAAGTGACAGAGACGCACTCTGTTTGGTTCCGGAGGTTAAATAATCACCAACTTTGGCAACAAAACGGCTCTTTTCAGGGCCACCAAGCTTATTACGAAGACGGCAGGAAAAATTTGTGAAGCCGAGTTATTTACGAAAGAGAGTGTCGATGAAGAGAATCGATCAATGTAGATAGGACCTATTGAAAAGTGACGCGAGATTTGTTTTCCGTACTGAGCTCCAATGCTACCGACGCCAGGGAGGCAGCTCCAACACCTGGACCCTACAAATCGACCCATCAACTCAACCGGGGACCAACGGCTTTACTTCCCGAAGAAAGGCGTGATCAGAGATGTTATGCCTTAGAACATGCCGGTGGCGCCGACTGAGATTGGACCCAGGCCTGCTGGGGTGAGAGGTAATCACGCTAACCACCGGCGCCGATATCTTTCAAGATGATATCACGGCGAATGAGATCGACCCAATTTTGAGTTTAGTTATCTCAGAAATAAGAAATAAAGTGCAGGAACTCAGCAATGAGTAAATTTGCCTCATGTTTTCCCAGGTTTTTCCAGGATTTTCCAGGGAAAAATTCCAGAATTTGAGAAAAGTAAAGATTGGATTCACTCAGTCTATTGGTACTACTCCGAGACTGAATAAAATGTTCGTCAATTTCCTCATTTCTGGCAGATTTTTTAGGTTTTCCACAGGAAACCATGAGACAAATTTACTCATCGCTGAGTTCCTGCACTTTTGGCGATTATGAGTGAACTAAACTCAAATATGGGTCGTTCTCATTCACCGTGTACGCAAAAGGAAAAGAGCCAGTGTCACTACTTGATAGCAAACTACTCATAATGGGAGGAGTCTTTGTAGCTTTTATACCACTTGGTTGCACAATGCACATCATTCTGCTTTAACCTGAAAAAGATATAAAAGAGCGCTGCTGTATGGCATTAGCTAATTTTCGCTTCGGACGGCTTGGTGAACAGCAATAGCAGCAGTAGGAAGGTGGTGGCTAGTCCACTCCTTCACACCTAACAAGCAACAATTGACAGGTCGTGGCAAAGGAGGAAAAAGTCTGGTGAAGGAGGCGCCAAGCGTCATCGCAAAGTTCTTCGAGATAACCGCCATCGGTCGTCTGGCTCACCGTGGTGGTATCAAACGTATATCCGGTCTGATCTACGAGGTGTGCTGAAGGTGTTCCTGGCCATGGATGTCCTCTTCAATAAAACGGCTCTTTTCAGGGCCATCAAGCTTACATCAGTAAAGAGTTGGAATAGAATTGATCTGTGTTGTCCATATTCAGAACCACAAGCCCCCAACGACCACACAAAATGCTCTCCAGAGTTGTAATCTTGTAACCAAACTTGGAAGCAGGGGTGCAAGTGATTTTGATTGATTCTCTTAATCAACTTTCTCTTTGTAAAAAAAATACTACAAATTTGGTACGCCTACAATTCAAAAACATAAAGATAATATATAATTGATCAATTAAAAGAACTAAATGCTCTTCACATTTATTCCGTCCACTAGCGGTCCTACGTCAAGCTTCCGTTCGTGCCCCTAGGCACAGACCCTTCTATTTTTTTTCTACCGAGCTCGGCTGTGCGGGTCTCGGCGGGGAGGGTTTCGCTGGGATCACGGCGGGAGTGACGCATTACATATTATTAATTATTAATTATATACTTTATTATATATTTATATTTAGCTGTGGCGATTTATATGACTATATAGTATTATTTATTTATACTAACTTAAACACAACGCGGGGTGACCCAAATCCAAACGATCACTAACCAAAATAATAGATTATTATCTATTTCAGTAGGTGTAATTTCGTTTAGTTCTGTTTCTCTCTTTTCAGCAAAACAACAACAAAAAAACCTCTATAACTCTTCTCTATTCTTTTAATCTCCTACTATCCCCTATAAATGTATCGGAAACTAGTGGGACTGTCTGTGCAAACAGAAACAGGCCTGCTAGTGGAAGAAGGTCGTTATGCTA